CAGTAACTAGTTTGGGTTATACAAAGTATTCAATAGCTACAGTCGCTCTAGTTACCTATTATCTTTAAAGAAGTGGATATAGGATAACAGCATGATTAGAATTATATCTTAAAGGTGGAATCTCTTCGATTCACTGACAATCATTTCACCGAATGATCATTTAGCCGACATCACATAGGGTTAGGGATAAGCATTTCATTGGTTGCAGGTATATATTTTTACTAAATTTCACCTGGCGTGATGTCATCAAAATGAGCTGTTGGTAAAGTGATTGTTGGTAAATTAATACAGACCTCTTAAAGGTTTATATGACAAAATACCCGCAAATGTGGTCAATGAGAGTATTGATAAAATATTGATAGCTATAAAAAATTTAATACAAAAAAATTTTAAAAAAACTAAAAAGTCATTTTTATTATTTAAGTCTAAGAAAGATTTACAGCAAACAATGATTATTCATGCACAAAACTTTTTAAAGAAAAATTGAATACATTTTTATGTTACACATCTTTATAATTCTTTAACTTTATTATCAAAATGATGCAAACCTAATGATTTTGAAGATGGAAAGCGTGATTTATGACCATTTCACTTTGAAAAAAAGAGAAAGAATAACAAATGACTATCACAACAAGTAGATAGTGATTGTAAACTTATATATATACATAAAACAAACAAATAGATATTTTATTAGATATATAAAACACAGAAACAGATACATGAAACACAAGTAGATGTTCATGTAGTTTCAATTGATCCAAAAGTTCATACTCCATTCATATAATATTCTTCGACAAAAGATGTAGGAAAGATAGAAGAATATGATATAGGACATATTTTTCGATTATGTAAACACATGGATAACCTAATATCAAAAAAAGACAAATTGGCATCTTTAATCTCAAATGAAAGAAGAAGAAAGCATTGCATGTTGACAAAGCCATCTTTCGTATAAAACGAAAAATCAGACGACTTCAGAATGAAATCCATCGAAAAACAATCAAGTTCTTAACAGATGAGTTTGACATGATCATTATCCCCCTTTTGAGGTTTCAAACATGGTGAACAAAAAATCATGAAAAATAACAAGGAAAACAGTTAAAAAGATTCTTTGTTGGTTGCATTACAAATTTTGACAATGATTGATTTCAAAAGCAGAAGAGAAAGGAACTCATGTGGTAATTCAAAATGAAGCTTACACGTCAAAGACATGTAGTTGGTGTGAAAATATTCAAAATATTAGAGGATCAAAATATAAATGCAAGAGTTGTGGCATAAAAATAGACAGAGATGTTAATGGCGCCCGAGGAATATTTCTTCGGGCTTTGCTTGATGGAGCCATGATCTTGTCATAAGACATCTTCATGCAGGAAATAGTAACTTTACTTAGTAATACTTAGTATTGATTATTATTGATGTGTTACAATCCATCCGTTGAATTTGTGCAGTGTAAATTTTTACTAAACACTATTAAAAATTTTGTTAAGAACAGTAATATAATAATAATGTTCTCATTAGTAAATATACAATAAGTAGCTACATACCGGTAATGTTTGACATGCCCGGATATAATTAATAATATAATTTAGTTCTTTTACATGATTGGATTGTAATTTATCATTGTAAGCACTTAAGTGTGTGTGCTTGATGTCTATTTTTATAATATTTAAGATTAATAAATGACTCAGTATCTAATTATAAATAAAATAAATAAGATGTTTATTTTTGAATTGAGCGATTTTTAAGTTTAAATATTATTTTGCATGCTTATTTATTATTCTGATTTTACATAATATAATGTTTGAGAAAGTTTATAACAACTATACCGTTGTCATGGGGACAGTATTTGGACCTGAAATTTCCAACACTGCGGCATATTAAGATATCTTGGATTCTGTATAGGAATCAAAGTTGATCGAGTCGAGTACTGTATAAAGGACTCATACCTGAAAAAAATTTAGGTTTTAATTATTCAAGAGTTCATATTGATTGCAATAAAAGAACTTAATCATCCGGAGCTGAGTGGAGGAATTTACTGTCGTTCATAGTATCATGCATCATGGTTGTCACACCACTCCTGCATTGTTATCTAATTATATAGTGAGAATTGTTAAATTAATATATAATTCATTTTACATACGTAGCGATAGCAATTAATAAATGGATTATCTGAATGTATCGATCAGGGCTTATTTGTGCATCACATTAAGGGATTTAAAAAGGAAAAACGTGCAAAAATAAAAATAAAAAAAAAGGAAAAAAAAATAAAATCAAAGATAAGGAAAATAAAAAACTAAATAAATAAGACAGCTCCGAACCTTATTTCATAATCGATAATATGTAAGCGTAAAAATTAAAGTTTTTATTACAGACTTAAAACTCGAACATCTTGCCAAGCAAACTCAAGATCAACATTTAAATTAGTCTTATCCACAAATATATGTACGTACGTACGTATTTTTGAATTACATATATGTTCGTGATTTTTGTTATTGTACAATACTATGCCTTTCGGTTAAATTAATGAAATTTGACCTAGTAAAATTCCCAAGTTTTCCGTTGGTAATCTTTTCTTCACGTGCCAATGTACGACGCATGTCTGCTCGTGCTATCACAAGAAAAATTTCGTAGATCTAGATATTGTGGCGTAATTTTTTTATTAGTGATGTTAATCGATCCCAGTAGATCTTAATCCTAAGGCGAACTGTTTGTTCTTTAAACGATAAAATATATGCATTTTCGAGAAGTTTTGGAAATCGCTTATGTAATCTTAGGGGTGTAATCTAGTACTAGCTTGCGAAAAAGTCATTAAAAAACAGACTAACATATTTATTAGGTAAATTGACCATCTAATTCGTAAAATCCGGTCTGGCATATATTACCCCATTAAGTCCTCCGTAACGGCTCTACATCAATTATTCATGTTATCCGAGTAAGCCTAACGCTAATTGATAAATAAAACGAAAACATATAGTGATAAATAAGGATAGCTTGTTTTTTGACACGAGAGATCTTCTAAATTTGGTTAATAAAATGTCATTCGGAATTCAGGTGGACAAACGAATAATTTATACTATCAGTAATTTAAATTTTAAACTATCTAGATGATATAAAGGTGAGATTCATCCGCATAATTTTTAATTTTTAGTCGAGCAACTTATCAAAACTTATAAAGAAATCAAGCAATTCAATTTCATAGATGGATCCATTAAAATGTACCTGTCAATCTTCTCAACAATATTCTATTAATCTTCACGACTTGGACCCTAACATAACGCATGACACTACAATTCCAATATCATACCAAACATATGAACCTTCATCATCTTGTCAATTTCACGCTCTTGGTGAAAAAGTTTCCAACCAAAAAATGTGGAAAAAACAAAAAGATCAAACTCAGTCTTGCCTGACGAATACTCTTTCAATTATACATCCGCAAAGCATGTTCGATTCTTTAATGGAGATTATGCAGCAAGATTTGAAAATTGCTGAGGATGATAACAAATCAAGCACCAATGATAGGATTAACGTCGTCTCGAATGTTAATACACAGCCTACAGATGACTTTCAACAGCACTCATTTTATTGCGAATGTAGAGGATCTGGTGTTGGTTGTCAATGTAGAAGACAATGTTTTTGTTAAGATATGAATCAAAAGATCACTCTTCTAAGGTCTTATTATAGATAATTCAATATGTTTATTTTTTATATATAATTTCAATATAATAAAAATGGTTAATTATGCTATGCTGTAAATTTAAACGTTTACCAATTTATATTTGTAGAATTCAAATTAAGGCTCTGCCTGACAAAATTAGAGCATAGGTACAGGTATCTAGACATTTTCTTATGCATTAGTACTCGCCTGGCGAAAGTCGATTGATCGAAAAGTTGGCCAAGTTGGAAACCAATTGATTTAAAATTTGATTAGCTGTAGTATATCTGTGCAGGCTTGAGAATTATCACAAAAAAATTGAGATATAAATCGCAGTTAAAGAGTATAAAAAATAAGTTTCATAGTAAAAATCGTCGGAAGCTATAGTTTTTCTACAATGTTGGAAAACAACTAGCCTACAATTAAAGTTTTTTTTTTTTTTTGTTAGATATTTTTATCAGCATTCCAACATTATATGAAAATAATAGTGACTTTTGCTATGAAATTTATACCCTTCAGCTACAATTCACACTTAATGATTGTCGCGGATTAACATGATTTTGAGCATACGAGACAGTGTCTAAGACACGCGCCGTTAGGCCATTTCTAGTTGATAATATTAGTCCCAAGAATTTATCAAATCTCATTGGTCAACATTAATCACATGATTAATGAAGTTTATGCTGCGTTGTGATTGGCTTGCTTAATTTTCGGTGGAGGCAGTTAAACGAGGAGGGATGACGTTAACCTAAAAATGGCCATAATGGTTAAATAATGTCTAGGCTGGTTAAATACCCAGAGTTTGGGCTTTAAGATCATCTTCGTTGTTTGGTTATCGTCATACAGACAGGTAACGTTCGCTTTTTTGTGGTTAGTAGAAACTCTACTAACTTGCCTCCGTATATTTTAAGTTCGTAGGGTGTGATATTAATATGAATGCTTTTAATAAGGGTATCTCCAGTACGTACGTACGTTAATTACCATCTGATGCATTATTACTTTAACGCTAATAGTTTATGTACATACAGTAAAAACACTTGTATATTTAGAGTTAATACAGAATTTATGCGGGTGTTCTAAACAAAAGGATTTTTACAAAGCCATTACATATTTGAAATTAGTTTATTAAAATAACTTTTATAATTATTATATATCTAATGTAATAGAAAATTTTTGTTTTCTTTCTAATTAAATCTATAGATACATGAGTTGTTATAAAATGCATACGTATATATATTCCCTTTCCTTTATCACATATTCTTTTACTTTTCTCTATAACATTTATAATTATGACCCCAACTGCATTAATATATTTTATCATCTTGTGATGCTCATCTTTAGTTTGTTACCACCATTCCATTCCTTTTGTTGTGTAAGTTGCTTCAACCACTTGAGTTAAATATTCGGGACTTTTTGTATAATATGTACCCGGTGAATTTTCCATGTCAATTTCTATAACATCTTCAGTCTTCTCGATATAACTCTTATCATATAAATCACAATCATAATCCCAAGAACTTAGCAACTTTAATTTATTACAATTAGACCTCGTCCATGATTCGCCGTAAGTTATAGGCGAAAATAATGTAAAAACGTATATACTCGCTGCCAAAATTATTACAGCTGTGATTATTCGATTGGTGGGTGTAAGTCGATTCGTGAGTAAATCAAATCCTATGCCGATTAAAAGAATTGCAAAATATAACGAAGGAAAGTAATAATTCAAATGTGGTAGTCCATAATTAAGAAAATATGGGAAATAATGTAAAAACCATCCCATGAAAAATATGCCAGACCATGATTCAAAATACTTTGCTTTAAATAACATATCAAAAATGAAGGATGAATTAATAAAGATCATAAATAGTTTTTTTTTTTTTTTTTTTCTTAAAGGAATCATATTTCATTATAATCTTACCATTCGAATAAACACGATATCCTCTCTTTTCTAGTAAAAGCATGACTGATTTCGCAACAACAAAACCGAACACAGCAAGTGTGGAGGTCCACCATACAAATGGATTTCCAAGCAAATGAATTTGACGTTCTTCTTCTGTATCTTTCCAAAAACTGACACTACCGTTCAAGAATAACCATGACAAAGGGCGACGAGACTTATGATGATGAGAATAACGTTCAAGACGATATTCCCACATACCTAAATTAGCTTCATAAAATTTCTTAAAGAATCCTATCTTTTTATAATTAACCATTTCTGCGTCTTGTGGTACTAAAAAACAATGATTTGACGAATAAGCAATGATAATGGTTTATTAGGTTTTTTTTAAATAACCTATTGCATCAAAATTCATATATATGAAATAAATCACATACAATCTGGATGAGAATTTGTTTCTATGTACCACAACGAATTTTGGTAATTACCATCCGTGATACAAGTAACCTCCACTTCATTAGGTCCCCCAGATGGCAATTTAATAAAATGTGAAAAAAGATAACATCCTGTGTCGTAATTATATAGGCGGAATTTTGTATGAATCGAACGAAGACGTTTGCTAGATTCCGGATCTGATTTATTATGTTTTGCAATTTCCACTCGCCAAAGATCGGTAGTATCTAAAAAATCACCGTACAAGCGTGCACTACGGTAAAATATCTTAATCTAAGTAAATGTGTAAACCCAAGCTTTGTCATTCAGAATCATTGAAGTCTATTCACCTAACTTCTTTTTGAAATTCACCATCCGAAACCGGTGCGTTTGTCGTGTTGCTATGTAAACTCCTACCGGTCTTAGAATGTTCTAGATGAATTAATGCACCATCATAAATCCAGTCAAGAACGTTGTTATTAGGTAGGTCTTGAAGAATTTGATATTCTTGATGTCCTTGAAATTCTTGAGGTTCTTGAGGTTCTTGGAAACCCGGTAGTTCCTGAATATATTGAGGCTCTTGAGGTTCCTGAATATATTGAGGCTCTTGAGGTTCCTGAATATATTGAGGCTCTTGAGGTTCCTGAAGGTTTTGAGGCTCTTCATGGTCTTGAGATTCTTGAGATTCTTGAGAGTCTTGAGGTTCCTCAAAGCCTTGAGGCTCCTGAAGCTCTTGAAGGTCTTGAGGTTCTTCAAAGCCTTGAGGCTCTTGAAGTTCTTGAAGGTCTTGAGGTTCTTCAAAGCCTTGAAGTTCTTGAAGATCTTGAGGTTCTTGAATGTCTTGAGAGTCCTGAAGGTCTCGAGGCTCTTGAAGGTCTTGAGGTTCTTCAAGGCCTTCTTGAAGTTCTTGAAGACCTTGGGACTCTTGAATGTTTTGAGACTCCTGAAGGTTCTGAGGTTCTTGAAGGTCTTGAGGTTCTTCAAGGCTTCGAGGTTCAAGAAGTTCTTGATGATCTTTAGGTTCTTGGATGTTTTGAGATTCTTGAAGGTCCTGAGACTCTTGAGAAATTTCGGGAACTTCAGAATCTTTAAGGAACTTATAATTTTTAGCGTCTTCAAGCTCAACTCTTCTGACAACCCAAAAATTATCATCATCATCGCCATCATGCAGAAGAAGACTAACTTGATGATCTAAGTGGATGAAATCTTTTGATTAGTGGAAACTAACTTCAAGGCTTTCATTTCAGAAATTGAAATAATGCATACGGATATCGTCATCTTCGGATCTTGGATAAGGAATTTGATGAGAATGCAAATACCCTCCTGTACCAACGTGTTTAATAGTTATGGTAGAATCAAATGCAACATCTGTAATAATTCATAAATATTGAGAAAAAAGGAAACCATTATCATAATCAAAATTTATAGAAACATATGTAGCAACCTATAGGTGTATCATCCATGCTAAATTCATTTAATGTTTTTCTAAATTCAGGGCTTATGTACAGTTCATCATTGCCGCCATTTTTCAAGATTGTAAAATGAATAAAAAAGAAAAATATGTACAGAATAACAGGAACAACTACTAAACATAATGCATTAGCAAGAAAATGTTTTGTGCATTGTTTCTAAAAATGAAAAAAAGTTAACGTTAAAATAAAATTATTAAATAATGATCAAGTTTATATGATTTTACATACAGGAGACACGCGTAAGTCACATAATAAGTCCCATAAACTTTTTAACGCTAAGAGACCGATAAAAGCCATTGTGAAAAAACCATCCAAACTTGCACTAAAATTTAATCAATTAATATATTATCATTAGGAAAAAATGCAAATTTTAGAGACATACCTTATTGTGAGACCAAGACCTACCCCAGTTAACATCATCCAAACCCACCACCATAACTCAAATGGCCTGATAATAACAAATAAAAAATTGCATATATTTATTATGATAAGATGAAACCCCATTTTTATTGCTATATGGGGTGAGTCAGTAGAAACGCACCAAATTTTTTCTAAGTAAATTTTTTTGAATCTTTGAACAAAAATAACTCAACAATAACTAAGCAAATTTAATAAAATTTTTTGTTAAATTAATTTTATAAACTTGTAGAATTTATTTTTAAAAAATTGTATTTAGTTTAATTAAACTTTTGTTGGGTTATTTTTGTTCAAAGATTCAACAAAATTTCATTAAAAGATTTGGTGCGTTTTTACTGACTCACCCCCATATAATAATTGATGGATAGTTATCCATTTGCAACATACCTTTTTTGCTCAGTATAAACTTTGACCCACATCAACAATGTAAATGCAGTAAAAGTTAACAACGGTGAATTATGTAAAATAAATCTGCTTTGGGTTACCAACCCATTCTCTATTAAGGAAAAAGATAATTAGTGATTAGCATACCAAATAAATGATAAGGTCAATTCTTTTAAATTAATAAAATACACGTTTTGTATTTAATATTTGGGGTGCAGAGCATGATGATCTACTAGAGCATTTCAACCAATTAATAATTATTTTGTTATTCGACATTACCAAATATCAATAAAGTAGAAACCAAAAATGCTGCAGTTTTCGAAAATCCAGCTGACTTGATTGTTAAATAAGCAATTGGTATTATGCAAATTCCCATTATTCCTGACATAAAGCGCAAGGCCACATATGGAAACTCAAGTTCATTGTAATCTCTTTTCAAAAAGAAAATAAATAATACAGAGAAAAAGTAATAAATCATTAAATAGGGAATTGATTGAATTGAGCATAATTGAATATATTAAAACCTACCTGCTTTCTTCAAAATCAAAATCGTTATCGAATCCACATAAGAAACCAATGAAGGCGAAAATTAATCTTACTAATGGTGGATCATAGTCCAGAAAAAAACTACGTTTAATGTATTGTCTAAAAATGATCAATAAATTAGATGAATTATTGACTTAAGGAAGAATTCAGAAATAATAAATAATATCCTTACGAGACATAATTTCCAAAGTGCGACTCTTCAAAACTAATAGTTGTAAAACGAGTCCAATTTATTAAATTAATAAGGACTTTCAGGATCAATGGACGAAAGAACAGAGATTTTTTTTAACAGCTATCCTGTATTAGTCTAATGCATTAAAATGCACAAATATGTGATAATCACAATTAGAGCATATCTATGCATTATTAATACACTAGACTAATGCAGAATGGCTAAAAATCGAAAAGAACTCTGTTAAATAAAAGATGAACTTATATCATTGTCTTACACTGTTGATGTTGGATAGCCTATATTGTATAATCTTACAAAGACTGAAACTATAACAAGTCCAAGGAGATTATATCTATCAATAGGCACCTCTACAAATGACTTATAAGTTCTCTTTGCCTTTAAGCTGTTATTTAAAAAAAGCGTATCGGATGAAGTGTCTTTATAAGTTTGTCCTTTGTTTCGGCGTTTTATATTACCCGAACCTACTACAATAAATAAAGATATAGATACAATTGTTAATTTTATTTAAGTTTATTTAAAAAAAGTTGTAAAATAAATTTAATAAATTCATACCTAAATGATATACTTCGTTGCTCTCACTATTTAATCGTAGAGCCATATTTTTTCTGTGATGAGGTATAATGGTTGCGATTCGAGTTGAAATTCTTCATGTATTTTTTATTTGTTTCTTTTTGAATATTTCACAGATATGTTGGAAATATAAACAAAAAAAAAGCACCAATCAAATAAATTGCAAATTTACTTAAATGGTTAACAATGTGTAATGAGTTCTGGTTTCATTGATTAATTAAGAAATTAGTAATGCCAAAATTTTTACTTTATCGGATTCAGCTCTCAAAGAAATTTTAGAAGCAGAATCCAGAAATCCTGCTTGTGCTATTGTTACTATTGCTGAGAGATACAAAAGGCCAGAAGCTTATAAGCTATAGTTAAATCATAAATTTTGCAACAAGCAAAGAATTTGCTCGTTACTCTAAACTTCTCCGATATTGTCATAATAACCACATAACTTTCAATTACGGCTCTGTCTCAACCAAATATAATAATAAATTTTGTTTGTCCAGGATTTTTTTTCCGACAATCATTTGGGGTCTTTGCCTTATGGGACATAGTAATTACTATGCCCATATGATTATTTTTCAAGGTAAAAACCCCATTTCCAATCATTTATTTGATACTTTGTTCTCCAACAATCAATTCCCTGTCATCTTCATTTCCCGACAGTTAATTATCCAACATTTTCATTTCCCAACAGCCAATTAATCGACACTTTCATTTCGACACTTTATTTCTTCGATAATTTCATTTCCTTTAACGTTAATGTCCATTTCTTTTAAAGTTTTTAATCATCTATATATGGAAAATTGGAATGTACAGATCTGCACTTGCGAATGGTTTAATAGTTTATGCATTGTTACACATATTAATAACTTATGCGCCAGTTAAATAGGGTGCGGAACGGGCCGACCCGCGGGCCTAAACGTGCTTTTTTTGAAGGTTAATTTGGGCCACACCCTCAAAGTGTGATCACATTTAGTATATAAAATCCACTTTTACATGACTTTGAGCAAAGATGTCTCAACGACCATCCAACCAAATTTGATATTTTTTTCTATTTTAATTTTACAGATCTGTAGATTCAAAATAAAAAAAATTGATTGGGTGGTTGCCGAAATATCTTCGCTCAAACTTTACAAAATTTTGCAGCGGCTGTTATTTTAATAGGCGTTTTATTTGGTTTCAAAACTTCGTGCGAAGATAATTCAACGACCACCCAACCAAATTCGATAAATTTTTTTAATTTTGATTCTACAGATGTGTAGAGTCAAAATAAAAAAATCATCGAATTTGGTTTCCGAGATATCTTCGCTCAAAGTTTTAAAAAATTTTACCATGGTTCCTATTTTGATAGACGTTTTAAATGATCTCAAAGCTTTGAGCGAAGATATTGTTGCAACTACCCAATCAAATTCGATGAATTTTTTTATTTTAATTATACAGATCTGTAGAATCAAAATAAAAAATTATCAGATTTGGTTGGGTAACCATTGAGATAATTCTGAAAAAATATGATGTAGATCTACAGTATCAAAAACGTGACCAACTGTAGTACAAACGATTATAACTATGCTATAAAATTAGAGAACTGTTAATGCCACCCCCTATTTTTGTTAATGCCACTCTCTACTGTATGTAACCCTAACCAGTCTAAAATCTTAAATTCATTTTTTTCTAAATTCAATTTTTGCCCTCTGTGAAAATTAAACTTGTACTCAATTGCTTGAAAGTGCAACAACTTCATTACTTTACTAAGTTATCACACCCTCAAATATTGATTTAATATTATTGTATATTTAAAATCTATTAGGAACTATTGAAGCACTACTATTTATCTAGTATGTTTTTATTTAACCTAAAAATGTTTATAAATTTTTTGATTTAACTAGATAATTAGATTTTACAAATCACAGTAATAATTTTAGATACTGTTAATACCACCCAAATTTTTATTAATACTACCCTTTACATACTTTAATTAATCTTTAACCTTTTCAGAAACTCTATAAACAATACTTATTCTAACTGCTAACTAATTAATCACATGAAGGGTGTGGTAACTTAGTGTAGTTGGTAAGTTGTCGCACCCCCAAGCGGCAGGACAAGAGTTCGAATCCCACTGGCGATGAAATTCGAATTTGCGAAAATGCGTTACATTAAAACTGTATAACATATCGATCGGGTAAGCACCTGTGACTTTGATCTCACCAACTCATATTGGGAGGTTGTGGAACGTAGTATGACGTATGAGTTATATAAAACCCGAGTGAAGCAGCCAAATAAATCTAAGGAATCGGGGATACAGAAGCCCGCTTGGAAAGTCCCGAGTAGAGAGGTAGCACAGATCTTCGACAGCGCTACATAAAGGATTATCATCTGGGGAACC